GGTCACTTGCCTAGGACCATGGAAAAATACCCTATCTCCCCAAAATAAGACCTATCTGAAAATAAGCCCTAGCATGTTTTCAAATACCGTATTTATCGGCGTATAACACGCACAGGCGTATAACACGCATCTTCATTTTAAGAGGGAAATTTCACCCCCACTCCCACCCCACGCGCGCGCTTCAATCCACAGTGTCCCATTCTGCCTGCCTGCCTTAGTTTCTGGTTGTTTGGGAGCAGCTTCGGCTGAGAATAATAACTATTCGCCTCTTTTACTCAGCCGAAGCTGTTCTGATTCAACCATTAACGAAGGCAGGCAGGCAGGCAGAACGGAGCACTGCGGGCGGGCGGGCGGGCGGGCGGGCGGACGGGGTGGGGGAGAAACAGGCGCTTCAGGGAAGCTGCGGCGACAGGAAAAGCCCCCCCCCCCCGCTTCTTCGAAGCAGTTTCTTCCTGTGCTGGTGGAGGAGCGAGAGAGCGACTGAGAGAGCTGACCCAGAGAGAAGGACAGGCTTCGGTTGCTTCCTCCCTCCCCTTCTTTCATTTGTGTCCTTGATCCCCGATCCCAGCAGCATTCACCGAAGGCTTCTTAACATTATATCGGCGTATAACACGCATACATCATTTGCCCCCTATTTTCAGGGGGAAAAAAGTGCGTGTTATACGCCGATAAATACGGTATGTGACTAATATAAACCCTACCCCCAAAATAAGCCCTACCTAAGAGCCTGCCCAGCCGTCCATTCCATGTGGTTGCTTGTGCCACAAGGCAAGGTGGGGGGTGGAGCTGTCCCCCACTCCCTGCACCAGCTTACCTCAGGTCTCCTGCAGCCAGGTCATCCATGTCCCAAGACTTGTCTTGCTGCAGCAGCACCAGCAGCCATATGAAGCAGGAGTCCACATGTCTGTCGGCCCATTTCTGCTTGATCACAGCCGCAACAGAGCAGGAGGCCGAGTGGTGTGCCGCGAGGCAGACATCGGGATATGGGTGGCCTGGCTGCGAGGGCCCTGAGGTAAACCAGTATGGGGTGTGTGGGGTAGCTCCACTCCCCTGCCTCACGGTGGCACTAGCGCACCATGCTGCCTCCTGCCCCAGCACAAGCATGCAGAAGAAGTGGGCTTCCTGTACATGGGGAAAAAATAAGACCCCCCCCCCCCAATAAGCCCTGGTGCTTATTTTGGGACCCCCCAAAAAATAAGACCCGTTCTTATTTTTGAGGAAATACCAGTACTGATTCATTCATACACATTTGCATACAAAGTTGAGAATGCTAGGCAGATAAACTTTCTCTTCTTACTTACTCCTCTCAGCCTGCTCCTTACCTATAAATTTCGCAGCTGCTTTCGGTTGTCATGCCTTCAAAAGATTTTTTCAAATCCCACCTGGGAATTGCAAAATTTTGCCCCAAATTTAAATTATGGTTTTCAAATTAAGCAAGGCTGGTTCTGGCTTGTTTAAAGTTTTAACTTCAATTAAATAACATCCTGATTTTTAAATACACTATACAGAGAACACTTCTGCTTTAAAATGGAACCATCTTCCCTTGAGAACACAGTTCTTGGTTAACATCCATTCATTCAGCAACCAAAGTTACGCTGAATGAGGAGACTTATGTTGCAGCCATTACAGTGTCCTGCAGTCACATGATCACCATTCTTAATCTTCAACGATAAGCCTAGTTAATGGGAAGGTGGTCACAAATGGCAATCACTTGACATCACACTTAATAACTACGTGGGATTTGCCTAACATGCTTAACAACAGCATTGCTTAGTGATAGAGTATGTTCCCCTGTGTCTAGTTCTTGTTAACTGAGGGGCAAATGATTACCACGATTAGGGAGAAGATATATGCATTATATTCAGCTAACTCATTGATGTAATGCTAATCAAACTTTAGTATAATTCTGGAAGATCCCATGACTACTTAGGAACAAAACATCTACCTAATCAGTATCTTGGTATACACACAGGACTGTAGATTCAGCACAGTAAAAACCATTGCATAGGGAAGGCAAAAAGTAGATAATGCGGTGGCTTATTCGTCACAGTGTGCATAGACACCTCACTTAACACCCACGAATCTTACAATAAAGAGGTGGCATGATGTAAAATAAAATCTCAGCTTCTGACACTACATTTAGTTGTAAGAATGCACCTGCACTTTACACAAATCTACAGACACATGAACAACATTCAGACTCTGGGCAACTGTAGCCAGGGATTTTGTTCGCAAGGAAATCCACCAAGTCAAAGTTGGTGGTAGCAGAGAGTATCATTGGAGCACAAAGAGGATGGTAAAGAAAAGTTACTCTAGTACAATTTGTTTTGATTTGTGTGTGTGTGTGTGTGTCTTCTGTGACTGTGCAAGTATAAGAGATGGTGCCCATGGAGGAGGAGCTGGTGTGATGGACTATAGTGAATCAGCAGTTTCACAGGAAGGAGGGAGCACATTCCGGAAAGGGACAACAAGCAGCCCAGCCCAGAACTGGATAGAGACAGAGGAAGAGAGTTAGGATAACCACTGCCTAGAATCTCCCATACGCATATGTCCCTTAGGGTGAGAGTAGTAAGGGTTCAATCTGGCAAGATTCTGCCTCTTGGGTGTAAGAAAATAAAGAACTGAATTGTTCTTCGCCATCCTTGAGCTTAGCCTTACAACAAGCCTTGTCATAGCAGCAATTTTGCAAGAGGTTCCACAAAATTCCAAATGTATCTTTATGGCTGTACAATAATCCCTGAGATCCAATGGATATCACTTCACCAAGCTTGTCAAGAATTGAGTTTTTGAATATTTGTGTCATCAACCCTATAATCCAGCTGCCCTGTGCTCTTTTTCAACCGCCTTTGATTTTTGAACATTTCAGCATCTCTTCCAATGATTCTTACTTTCACATTATGTGCCCCAAACACTGAGATTAATGTTAATTATTAATGATTCCACTTTAGCTTCTAGTTTTATTTGTCTCCTAGTAAAATCAATCCAGATATCTACTAGTACAAAAATATTCCTTAAATTGGGGGTATTAATGTACTAGACTCCAGGGGCCCTCTAAGTAAATTTGCATGCTGTCCAATGTATGGACTTTAGCCTGTCTTTAAATGCTATAACATGTTAGCTTGCAAATACTACAGCTCACAATTACTTTTCAATATAATTTTTGTAAAATTGTGTTTCCAGCTGTTGCCTCCGTTGAAAAGTTTATTCCAGATCTGTGTGGATTTCCACCACTGAAAGCCTGATGAATTCTTTCAAACTTTACTTAAAAGCGTTTAAAAAAAGACAGCCACCTTATCACAAAAATAATCTGTTCCACAAAAAGAGAAGCATTTAGCTTACTTCATAAGATGCACTGCAGTTAGCTATGTGGTTTATATGTTACATTTGTAATAATCTGGGAAAATCATTGCAGTTAACATCTCTCACCTTATACCTGAGTCAGTGAGGGAAACGCAGAGTCTTTCATTAGGCATTATCTTCTTCAAACATCCCATGAGGCAAGGAAGATATTGCAGTGGGAAGTAATTACCCTTTGCAGAGCAACTCAACAGATTAAAGTTATAGAGAAGCCACAATTAAAAACTAAAGACTGCCTATTGTAAGACAAGAAGTACCCACCTATTCTCTTCACAAAGATGCTTCCTCTAATTAAAATCACTTTGTAGCTCAGTTGGTATAACTAATCAATACATCAAAAACTTAGCAAGCAGTGGCCATGTCAAAGAGGCATACACACCCACACCCAATTGCACTTGCTAAGGGAAGGAAGGAATAGGAGGAGAATAATAAACAAGCTCCAAAAAACAAGCTGTCTTTATAAACACACTGGAAGGTGTTGAGCAATTGTAACTTCACCTCCCCGTGAAGTGGTATGTGTGTGTGTGTGTATGTGTCTGAAGGAACCAGCGCTGACCAGACTGATATCACAATGCATCTCAGAATGTGAATCGGAAAATCTAATGGGAGAACTGGGATCGAAGCCCCAGGAATAATGAAGCTGGCTTTATGTGCCTTTGCCTGTACAGGATAGCTTGAATGGCTTATCTGGCAGGAAGCATTTAGCCATCCTGACTGAATAAACCAAACAACACCCTCACCCATCCTTCCTTCTCCCCTAGCCCGTCCCTATTATTCTAGCCAACGCCAAAAGGAATCTGAGCAGTTCCCTTACAGACCAGCCCCCTTTCTTTATTGCAACTTGTGTCTTAAGGCACGGGTGAGCTTTTCCCACCACGCCGTTACCGAAGTCCTCTAGATCGAAGGACCAAACTACAAGGCGTGAGCGTAAAACGATCAGTCCCCATTTGCTTGCAATGGTAGCTGGCGTCTCTTCCCTTCCTCCTTCCCGGCTGGATAAAAGGACTTCGCAACCTGACAGCTGCTGGGGGGAGGGGGGGAAGGGAACGGTCTCTCTGACCCCCCCCCAATCATTCCTTCTGATGCCAGATTTACTATTCTGAGCTCCTCCTTCTGCAGCTCCTTCAAAACAGCCACCCCTCTCTCGCCTCGGCTTCCACTACTCTCACTCATCACTTTTACTCCAGCGCGACGGGATAGAGGCTCGAATGCAATTAAAACTGACCCGCCGTAATCCGCTCTCCCCCTGCCCCTCTCCCCCCCCCCATACACACACATATCCCATCACTGTGCTCCTCCCCAATCCCCTATATAAAAGCTACCCTTCGGCAGCTTCGCTAGTAAAAACTACATCGGTGTCCGTCGCGCCGTCCGCAGCGGGGTTGGCGAACGCGCCGCGCCACTCAAAGCGTGGCAGCATTTTCCAAGCCACGTCCGGCAATGCAAGCTTGCTCCTCTCTTTGACCCAGGCGCACCTCCCGACAAGCCAAAACCGCGCGCGTGTGTGTGTTGCGTGTGTTGTGTGTGTGTTTTTGTTCCCGTCCCCCCCCCCCCAAAAAAAAAAGCGAAATCGGGGACAAACTTCACCTCTCGCCTTCGGACGGGAAGAAACCGGGAAACGGGGCGGGGGGAAGGGGGCTCACCTCTTAAGCACCGTAACTTTCGCTGGCTCCGCGCGTTTCCCGCCAGTGTTTTCGAAAGGGGCGAAGAGAGCCGGGGTGGCGAAAGCGCGACCCCGATCTTCTTTTTGAGGGGGCTCCGGTTGCTGAGGTGGTTCTAGCGAAAATGTGCATCGAAAGAGTCACAAGCCGATTGCTTTGCAACAAACCAGCAGCAGCAGCAGGAGCAGCAGCGACCAAAAACAAACCCAGCTGCCTGCTTCCCGAGGCAAAGTCTTGCAGAGAAAAAAAAAGCGGGGGGGAAAGTAACACATATGCATATAAAAAGGGAGGGGGCGGGGAGGTGGAAGAGGGAAACTAGAGGAGAAAGGAGGAGGCGGAGGCTGCAGCAAGAAGGGTGAGGGGAGAGAGAGCGAGAGGATGGGTGGGAAGGGGAGCCGGGCAGAAATTGCTCTGTCGCGGGAGCCCTTCGGGCACCGTCTCTGCGCAAGGCGGCGGCTCGTCGCTGCTCCTGCAGCCCCCGTTCTGTCGGCTGCGCGGACTCTCCCTGTGGCTCGCGCTCTTCCCAAAGGAACGCCGCCTCCTCGCCTCAATCGCTACATTGTTGACATTCGCGGGCTGACATCATCCTCCTCCCGCCGCTGCCGCCACCACTACCGCCACACACACGCGCGCGCGCACAAACACACACACACACACACACACACACACAAACATAGGCAAGAGTTGGAGCACCCCGCCTTTCCCCTTCATTCACAACAACGGTGCGGAAATCGCGTAGCGCCTGCTCCTCATGGTGAGGGAACGGGCCAAAGACGGGCGTAAGCCTTCTTTGAGAATCGGGGTTCCTGCGTGGACAGTTCTCTCCGACGGTTCTTGTCGCATGCGCACTCCCTCTCCAGTTTCTCCGGCGCGACGCTTCATCGTTCTCGGGCTCCCTCCTCCTTTTGTGTCGGTGCAACTTTTGAGAGGCATACTGGGAATTGTAGTCCTTCTCCCCCCCTCCACCCCTCCACCCCGCCCGTGCTGCATGCAGTTAGAAAGAAGCTCAGTTGTGATGCTCTGGCAAACAGTACCCGAAAAATCGTTGTTAATGCCTCCTTGGTATTAGTTTTCTTGGATTCTTTGATGTAGGGATAGGCAGCGTTGCGATCGTGGCCACTAATACTCCTCAGAGAGCTCCTTTGTTGCTTGGAAGGCTCTTTGTCCCGACTGACATTTTATTATTATTTTAATTGAAAACTTAAAGAGAAACCTGGTGGTATACTATAAAATATAGCCCAACCTTGTAGTAGGTTTATTCGCAGAAATATTTTTGGGCTTCACAAAGAACACACTGGATATGATCATTCTCAGCCTTTGATCAAATTCACCTTCTGGTAATTTGTGTGTGTGTGTGTGTGTGTTTATGACCAGCCATAACTACAATAGCAATAATTGTGTGAGTGTGCCAACAGCATGGTCTCAACATTTGTGCACTGGGCCCTAAATGACAGCTTCCCTCTGGATAATAAAAAAAGCATGACTTAATAGTTTTCAGCATCAATTAAACACTTAATAAAATGACTCAGCTTAAAATAAAACATAAAGTAATAAATGTTACCATAACGGATATGTCTTGATTAATAAAAGCCAGTATAAATTGAGAAGGCTTAGGACAATAAACACCAATGGCATGAATATATATTCTTCCTGACCATTTTGGAATATTTAGAATAAGGACTTATTCTAAATGGTTGGATAAAAAACCCTCCCCCCACAAAAAACAGATTAAATAATTTGTATTATTAACGACAGTAACAAAAAGGGGGGGCTAAGCCAAAACTAAGGTAGAAGGCTCCAAATAATGTTGAACTCCAACTGTTGCCCCATTAACTAGAAAAAGTAGGCTTAGAATCTGGAGTTTTAGACTTGCTATAAAGTTCTTTAATTTATAAATTAGATGTCTTTTGTATAGATTATAAATGTTTCTTTAAAAATGGGGAAAATATTTGTTTGTTTAGTCCTCACCACTCAATATCAGAAGTTTGTTTTTAAAATATTAACATCATGGCTAGTAGGCATTCCTTCACTTGGAAGAGATCATCTCATTGCATCATCATACAATGCCAGCAGATGGCAGGCATCATCTTAAAAGAGGCATTCCTATCCTGCCCATATAAATCCTTTTATTTTAGAACCTGCTTTTTTGTGATGACACAATAATTTATATCCTTTATTGTACCATTAGTTTTCTGTAGCTAGTATTTCATCATTGAGAGTGTGCTTCTAAAACTTACGACATATAGAACTTGTGGTAATATTATATATTTATATTTATATTTATATTTATATTTATATATATATATATATATATATATATATATATATATAAAATAAATGCAAACAGCAAAGCCAAGAATTATGATAAACAAAGTCCAATAACTTTGGAAGGATCAGATATGACCAATTTGCAACAGTCATGAAGACTGACCACAGACGTTAAATTAGTTTAGCATAGAGCCAAGAAGATATTGACCAAGTTTTCAGATTATAATAAACCACAATTTATTCAATGTTCATTACTTGGGTTCATAGATTGTGAAAGCCAAAACCCATCAAACTTCCTTTGGATGTAGTGCAAAGGGTGAACCCAGTCAGACCCACCAGTTATTGCTATTTTAATTAGCCCACAGTTTTTACACTGAACTTTGCATAGAAATGCTGCATAGCTTTATGTGAACCAGGACAGGGAGACTGTCTGGTTGGCTGTAAAAAGAGTGTCCTTCCAGAGTTAGAGGTCAAAAGCCATAAAGTAGCAATCAATGAGTGTGGGCATTGGAAGATTTGGAGTATCGGTGGACACCCAACCTCCTATGGAAAGGCTTGATGAATCAAATAAATAAAATAAATAAATAAATAAAGACCTGCCTTACTGCATTTAGCACTTCTGAGAAGAAGTGAAGTGGGATAATATGTCATTTTGGAAATGCTGCAGCATGGAAACCAGGGTTTATCTGAAATGCTGTTACTTTCATGGCACTCAGACTAACATGCTTCATTTTTGCTAAATTCACATGCATGAAGAAGGATGGTTTACATGTACATTAGGATGAAATTTATGACCAAAAAGCTTGTTTATTACCCTTTGTACTAAAAGTGATTATAGACAAGAGATTTCAGCTGTGCTCAGAAACTTCACCCCAAAATATTTAAAGGAAATATGTAATAAGGCTAACAACATTTGAGTGGAATTAGGGCAGAAACCATATATGCATCTATTTGTGTGTCTTTTCTGTTGGAGACACTGAAAACGTCTGAGCACATCTGAGTACAGGTAGTCCTCAGCTTACAACAGTTCATTAGTGACCGTTCAAAGTTCCAATGGTACTGAAAAAGTGACTTATGACCATTTTTCACACTTATGATCTTTGCAGCACCCACATGGCCACATGATTTACATTCAGATATTTGACAACTGGTTCATATTTATCACAGTTGCAATATCCTGGGGTCAGGTGATCACATTTTGCAACCTTCTGACAAGCAAAGTCAATGGGGAATCCAGGTTCACTTAACAACCTTGTTACTAACTTAACAACTGCAGTGATTCCCTTAACAACTGTGGTGAGAAAAGTTGTATAATGGGGCAAAACTCACTTAACAAATGTCTCACTTAACAACAGAAATTTTGGGCTCAATTGCGGTCATAAGTTGACTGTATAGAATGTCTTAAAATTGTAGTCTTTGGCATTTTCAGGGAATTTTCAGTTCAAAATTATTTTTTTCTGCATTTTAATTCATCAAAGCTTTTGCATTCAATTTGTTCTTCCTGCAATTTCACAGAAGAGCAGACATTTTGCTAAACTTTAATATGAACAAGTTTGGACTTCCTTCCTTCCTTCCTTCCTTCCATCCATCCATCCATCCATCCATCCATTGTTATAACTATAGCAGATGGGAAAAAACTATTTGCAAAGATATGTAGATGCTAAAGAGGCTAAGGCAAAAGATTGCAATAATAAGACTGAGTGAGTAAAAAACAAGAACTGGTGTAGATCAATGAAAAGAGGAAATTGGTCAATGATAATATGGCTTGATTTATGCTGGCAAAATCAGAAGGGAGGGACTAAGATAACGGTAGCTATGATGCAAATATTTGCATTTTTAGAATGATTCAGAAAGGGGGAGCATTTTACTCTCTATGCTTTGGCATCCTTGGCTAATGCATATTTAGTCCAAGCTGGCCCTAATAGTAAGTCTAAAAACATTCTCTTTTTCTCCTATTAGTTACAGTTAATCCACAGACTGAACAAAAGTGAGATTTTAGCAATAGAAAAAAGGCCTTCAATGTAGGAACGCTTTTTTGCTGCCTTTTACAGTGCTTTTATGAATACATAATAGCTCTTAAGGTATATGAATATGATGTAAATAATTTTTTACAAATTAGAAAAGCATATATATACTGTATAAACATTCTCTCTCTCTCTCTCTCTCTCTCTCTCTCTCTCTCTCTCTCTCTCTCTCTCTCTCTCTCACACACACACACACACACACACACACACACACACACACACACACACAGAATGGTGCACTGTGATCTTACTATATATAATCCCCCTGGTAACCATGGATGTGTTTCTATCCCTGAAAAAATACTTCATACATCTGCTGAAATGGTGTATATTCCATGAATGCTTAATGCCTTAATAATGTGGCTAGTCTTTAAAGTATTGTAATAGACTTCACTGATATTTAGGTGTACATGATTGGACTGTTATGTGTGGTTTTTCAGTAGATTTTGCTCGCTTGTTTTCTCTGTATCTGTATGTAAATAAGTGTGTGATAGCAGACAAGTGTGTCTGTGATTTGATGATAATTTTCAGACAACTGTAAGATTCAAACATATCTAACTCAAATCTCCTTCTTTCTCATACATAAAAGTCCATGTACATGTCATTCTTTCACATTAAACATTGTCTTCTACATATATTATATGTGGGTGGGGAAAAACTTTTCATCCCATCATGGGTGCCAACTGCTAATGGATCAAGTTGACAAGCCACATGGATACAGTACATACATGATGCATAACTTCTTGTAGACTGTTGGAAAGTCTACTACTTGTGGATTGGCCCACACCATGTTTATTTATTTT